ATCGAGTCTTGAAAACAAGCAAGAAATTTGAAATTTCTTCTCCTTCTTCCCCATCAAAACCATTTTACTCCTGGCCTTCCTTAAGATAATGTTCTGTGAACTGGTTTGTGAGAGAGGAGCTGCTGGTGTGGGCTGAAATGTAAAGTGTCATTTCTGCAAGAGCTGGAAATGCAGAGTGATCTAATTATGTGCAGATATAACAAACTTCCTTTTCTTAAATTACGCTAATTATTTTTTGTTTTATAAGTTTTATAGAAAATAATTTGATTCTTATATTGGTCTGCAACATACTCCTAGTAGCTAGTTATTAAAAATCTGAATTAAAAAGCATGTGTGCATATAATTTCCAAACAGTTCTTAATATGAATCATTGACTCATAAAGAATGGTGGGTGATAGTTAGTATTCTGGATACACTGGTGCTTAATTCATTTGATTTTAAGTTTCTAGCTTGTTTGTTCTTTTGTTATAGCATTTAAAAACATCTTAGCTTACTCCTCATTTTCCTTAATGGAACTAAGTCATAGGGCTTTAAGCTGCATGACTTCCTTAACAGCATATTTAATATGATTCTGTTATCCCTGGCTAGTCAAATTGGCATATGTCCTTAAAATAAAATTAGGTGTAATTCATTATTTTATTCATTATTGAGATTTTTCCCAACTACTTCTGAAAGGAATGTAAGTCCAAAGATTAGGAGAGAAACATTAATCAAGTTATTTCATTATTGTTTTTTGTTAATTCATCAGAGAATTAACACAGTAGGAGGCCAAAATTGAAAATATTGCAGCTGCTTAAAGTGGATTTATTCAATTATGTTTAAGTAACTCTAGTGGTAAATGGGTCACGTTTCCTCTCTCTTTTTGTGAATTTCCACTGCCTCGCATAAATGACAAACAGCATCTTTTCAGCATCTCGACATTTTGTATGGGATATATATGGGTCTGTGTAGTATTCTGAATTACATTATGGGTCTTGAAAATTTCTGGGTCACTCACACTACTGACACAGTTGGTCAGTAATGAATTATTTTGGAAATCTGAAAAAAATTGAGCAAGGGAAAAAAGGTAAAAGCTGTTGAACAAAACACAAACCATGACGGCAGTAGTAGTACCTTTCAGAGTGATAATTTATTTCTTAGATAATAATTAGTTTTGAATTTTGACCACAGAGTATGGGCTAGTTTTTCACAAAGAGAAGAGTAAAAATACTTCTGGCAGTGAAAAGTCAACAAACTATTTATAGAAATGAAAGTCCTGGGCACCTTCTGGTTAACGGAAATTAACAGTGTCATTCTGAAATCTGTGTGATTGGCTGTACTTGGTGAATTTCTTTCTGCAGCCTGTTTTTGGGGCTTTTTTAAGTGATATTATGGAATTTGACCTAGTCCTTATGGAAGACTGCATTGTGCATGTATAAGTAAAGTAATGTATAAGGTTACCAAATGTTTCTAGAGTGCAAATTTTACAAATAACCCATCATGCTTTTGAGCTGTGGGTTTCATCATGAAGGGGAAAAAGATCAGTGATAAATAAAGAAGTTACAGAGTATAATATGCAATCCATAAGAAGCCTCAAACATGTCACATTATGATACCAAATGTTGCTGTGTCATTTGAGGACAGATGATAAAATATTTCTCTTTGTTCTTTCTTTATAGAGCAATAGATGGTAGTGTTTAATTTGGAGATGAGTTCCATGTGTATAAATTATGGCATCTTTATTTATCATCAGATTATTTCATCCTTCATTCTGTTTTAGAGCTGATATAGTGCTGTCATATGTGGTCAAGGATATTTGTTTGCTAAGCAATCCCTATGCATATACATATGTTATCTTCACAGGTTTTCCAAAATCTTAATTTCAAAACTCATTTTAATGCTTTGTCCTTCCAGGCTTCTTGGCTATCTCTTACAGCAATAACATTTATGGATATCCCTGTTAGTAACACAAATATTCCATCTAGACATTTGCAGTATATAGATTAGAGAGTGCCTGCTGTACATACCAAAAACCTAACTAAAACTCTTCTTATATTCTTAAATTTCATGCAGGAAAATGAGGTAATGAGATGCTGCAGTGATCTTATTATTTCTTCCTTTCGTTAAGTGAATAATTTTTCTTTTTTCTAGATTGATAGAGTGAAATATAAATTAATATACTTTACTGCTTTACTTTTTTAAGCATTTAGTTCATTTCAAAGTGAGAACTGTCCTATATTGGTATGACCTTTTGAGAGATCTCATAGCAGTAATATTGATCAGTGACACAAGTTTTGGCAATAATGCAGAGAAGCAGCCAGAATCTCAGCTGAAGTCTGTATAAATCTCATCTGTCTCTCTGTTGGAGTGATGCTGATGTTGCAATACTTATGCAAAATGGGAAAGAACTTGGCTGCTTTCATGTCTCTAAATTTAGTGTGTGGGTGGGCCAGGACAGTGAAGAGTTTATAACATCTCTGTGTATTAATAAATCCATTTTGTGTGTGAACTTCTGTAAACCTTTCGTTATGCATTAGAAATGCTGCTGTGCTACTGACAATAAGTGTCAGTAGCAAGAAAGACTCCAGGAAGACCTAATACACTTATTTCCTGTAACATTCAAGCCACTGTAATTATGGGTCGTTTGCCTAGCTTCTTTGGTAATTAAGAGTTTTAATTGTTTCTAGTTCCAGGGAATTAGTTAAGCTTTTCATTATGCATATTGCCTTCTATAATCATCGGTTCCTCTCCTATGGTAAGCTTAGTGACATCATGGAAGTCAATTAGGTCTTTCAAGGCAGAGCAGTGAAGTACATTCCTTTGTATGGGCTAGATCAGAAAAGGTTTCAGAACAGCCTTGGTAATGCTCTTCTGTGCAACATTTAAGCTTACTTTTCAAAAAGCTAAGCCTGTCAGAATTTCATTTACTGTCATCAGAGTGCTTAAGGTCATGAACTAAGATATTGTTAAGAACAAAACCTATAGGCAGAACCATGCTTTCTTTCTAAAAGCAATTGTACCAAACTTTCCACAATCTTGGTTACGTACTTGCAGTTAGTAATAGTGATAATGGTCTATATTTGAAAATACCACATTGTTAAAACTGGAATGCAGTGACTTTATGAAGGAAATGAGCACAAAAGAGATTGGTGTGATTCCTTTGGCTCACTAAAAATCATTAATTAAGTTTTACTTTATTACATGCAAGGTAGAAAGCACATCTTACTTTTCTCTTGACAGACTCCAAGTGATTGCTGACACGTTGAAAGGCAAGAATCAATATTTTAAAAAGAAAAGAAATCAAAGGAAAGGGTTCTTCATTCCTTTTTCCTCTTCCACAGGCTCTGATAGATGGATATATATATATACGGCAGACAGTTAATACATCTGGCAAAAATGTTTTCTTTGAACATAATGAAGTTTTTGCAAATTGCAACTTGAATCTCTTAGAGCACAGCCAGAACAGACAAACATTATGCATCCCTTACTTTGTGCATTGAAATAATTGTATGTTGGAGAAGTTAAGAGATGCAGTATGCTCTTGTATGTTTATAGGATCATAGAATATCCAGAGTTGGAAGGAACCCACAAGGATCATCAAAGTCTAACTCCTGACTCGGCACAGGACAGCCCCAGGAATCACATAATATTCCTGAGAGCACTGTCCAAATGCTGTAAGGCTTGGTGCCATGACCACTTCCCTGGGGAGCCTGTTCCAGTGCCCAACCACCCTCTGGATGAAGAACCTTTTCCTAATATCCAACCTAAACCTCCCCTGACACAACTCAGGCCATTCCCTCGGGTCCTGTCACTGGTCACCACAGAGAAGAGATCAGTGCCAGCACTTCCTCACATGAGGAAGCTGTAGACTGCTATGAGATCTCCCCTCGGTCCCCTCTTCTCTGTGGTAGGGCAGAGTTGCACTGCCCTATGATTACTAAATGTGGGGAAAATTGCCCTAACCATCCCAACACCTGTTTTCAATTACTGAAATTACTTGTGGCAGTGATTTTGGCATTAGTAGCAGTAGCAGTGCTAATAATATTGATAATAAATGCAATATGAATTGCAGAGACCATGTGTCAGTATAGGTCATAATTTTTTGGATTGATGAATGCCAAAAGCTGCTTTGGATTGTCCATAACCAAAAATTCAAACTGAATACTATGTAATGGCAAGAAGAGATGCTTCATTATATAAATTCTGGAATGAACTCCAGAAGTATTATCTTTTATTTTATAAAATTTCAGAACATATTTAATATATTTATCTTATATATTTATTATTCAATATTCTGAATTTAAAATACAAAATCTACATAAATAATGTATGATTATTTTTAAAAACTTTGCTTCCAAACTGCAATCTTTAATGATTGTGACTGTTGTGAGGCATGGAACTTTTGACTGACTAAACTGTCTCTTCTCTAAATCTAACCTTGCAATCTAATTGCTGATTTTCTTTCTCATCATTGCTTTGAAAGAATTAAGCAAATAGAGCATGTCTTTGACAGCACTCCTCTGATAAGTGATTTTTGTCTTACTCTCCACTCATCCAAAGTCCTACTATTGACCTAGGTAGTGGCCTTCCCCATCTTGTGTATGTAGGAAACGCCACACTTGTAAGTGAAAGCCCTGCTTTTGCCATTTTGTAAAGTTGGTTTGGAAAAGTTAAATTGCCTGCTTATAAAGGTATTTAAGCAGTTGCTTAACTTTAAGCTTCTGATTAAACTCATCCCTATAAAAAACAAAGCACTTAGGAACATCTGGATAACAAGTTTCTGGGATTTAAGTATGTCTGTTGATGTTTTTTGAATTTAAATTAATTAAAGGTTAATTACCATGCAGATGTTTGAATTGAGACATTTGCCCTTGTTCTGATTAGGAGTGTCTAACCTAGTAATGGAATTCAGTTTTTCTACTAAGTTTCATTTGGGATCATTCTCTCTTTTAAAACAAACTATTTAAAGTTCATAGTAACATTATTCTTTATTTTTTTCCCCTGACCTCCTTGCTTCTCAGTGTCTTGTGTTTGAAGATGCACCACTTGGAGTCAAAGGAGCCCTGGCAGCAGGAATGCAAGTGGTTATGATTCCAGATGAAAATTTAAATCCAGATCTTAAAAAGGAGGCAACACTGCTGCTGAAGTCCATGGAAGATTTCAAACCAGAACTGTTTGGTTTACCAGCATATGATTAATGCCTATGAACATCCACTTGACTGGAGATGGATTAAAAGTGAAATGAAATTTTATTTTGTTTTTGTGATTGTTTTTCATCTTTTACTCTCTTCGTCAAAACTAGAGCACAAAAATCCCATTAACACCAAGTATTCTGCACAGTACCTTTGGAAAATTGTCTGGAACGTTTATGATTTGTCCTCTTGATAAATGCTAAATTAAAGCAGCATCTCCCTATGAAGTGAGTCCAGTCTTGTTCTCTGCACACCATAATGCTTTCTGGGAATATTATGAAACTATTTAGGCAATTTATTGTAATTGCATTGGAAGCTTCTGGTTCTGTTTCCACTTGAATGACTTACTGTTTAGATCTTAACCAGAAATCTGTTCTAGATTGGCTTTTATCCCATTACCTTGTTTTTGATAGTTATTGCTATCAACATGTTTATCCACTTCCTCATCCTGTACTTGTCCATCTATTCCCCTTGTATTGTGTTGTCTTTTTATTTTTTTCCCCACCTCTTTGCAAGGATTTTTTTGTACTTTCTGTGCTTTTTTATTATGTTTTTTCTTGGAGATTGAATGAGATGACTTAAAACCTCCATTATTCTATAATTCTCTCATTATCCTTTCTGACGTGGTGATAGCTGGCTAGGAGGTTTACAAGCTTATATGATCTTAGAAGTTAACCAAAATGTTTTGCATCTCGTTCCTTTCGTTTCCTTCTGATTATTTCATTCTTATGAAATTAATGCTTCCTGTCTCTATGCTTCAACTCTATGGCCTTAACTCCTTTGTATCCAAATAGCTTTTTGTAGGCTATCCTTACTTTTCCACTCTTACCTCCTTTTTTTTTTTTTGCCAATTTCTCTACAGAGAGCGTTGCTATCTATTTTTAAAATGCAGAAATTGAAGATTTGGCTTCAATAAATGCTTAAAATTTATTTTCCTGGCTACCATAATTTCCAGAAAATGTTTATGTTGTCAAATGTTCCTCTTTGTCTCTTTCTGACATCTTGTCAGTCAGTACAAGGACAAGTGTCTCTTTAGAAAATGCTAGAAATGTAGACAGATTTTGGTGAAATTCACAACTACATATATGACATGGTAGAAGCAATGTCTTTTACTTCGTCTAAAGAAACCTACAGTATGTAGGGCTTATGACAGTTTTATAAAATGAATTATTGTATTCAGCATTTAAAAACCTTATGAGTATACAGGAGGTACTCCAAAATCTTGATAAAATATCAAACTCCATAAAACCAAGAAACTTGAAATATGTCAAATCAAAGAATTTTGATCTTCCTCACAAAAATATTTTCTAGGCATTTCTGGTCTTTAACTGTTTTAGATTTAAGGGCATTTTGTCAGGAACAAAAATTAATGAATCATAGAGCCTTCAGTATTCATGGTGAGTTTCCTTAGATTTTATTCCTCCTGTATTTAAAAAAACCTCAAACTTTTACATCTTTTATGTTATTATTTTCTTTTACTGTAGTCTGTTTATACCTCAAAAATTAAGGAAATTTTATTCCATATGGTCAGTCCATAAGTGGTACCGGAATCTTTTTAGTACATATAATATAATAGTTTGCAGTTAAACTTTTAATTCTAAGGATCTAGAAGCATTTTTTAAAAAAGGGTGAATATCGATTCTGTGTAAGTATTCTGCATATTATGTTGTTTCTTTAGGCCCATAGATATTGCAGTCATTGGTGTTTGTACAGTAAAAACAACCTGTCCCACCCAACCTGAATTCCATTTCTGGTCTTCCCAGACAAGAGAACAGAAATATCACTGTATAATTCTTCCTTTGACTGATGTTACATAACACAAAATGTTACTGTAGAGCAGTAATTCCGAGCTTTCAAGTGTAAAACAGGTGCCTGTTGGGATCCCCTTCGTTCATAATTACTGAATTCCAACAGGGAAGTTACTAGGTAGAACAAGCTTTAATAAGCTATAATTGGTAACTTTTTCAAACTTTTGCATATATTTAATTTAACTGGGGAGTTTTACAAAACATAAAAAATTAGCCATGTCTCATTTATACTTTACTTTGAAGGAATTGTCATCAAAGTCTTGAATTTTCTTTTTAAAGATGTGGAGACATTAATAAATATATCACTGACAAAATCAGAATTACATCATGACCACCATGGCGAGATCAGCATATCCTGCAATTCTAATTTAATAGCTTTATCTTCTGCTGAAAATTAATAGTCAGAAAATTATTGCTCCTTAACTCAACAGCAAATCCTATCCCATAAAATTACTCTTCCATTAATTTAGTATCCCACCTGAGAGTCGTCAGTGAGTTTATGGCCCCAAACTGAAATCTGTGAACCTGAGCCATATGCTGTAACCTTCTCATCCTTTTAGTAAAATTTCCTTCCATATACTTTTTGGTGGTTGTTTACTGGCTTCCTGGTCCTGAGCTGAACCAGTTAACTGGTACTGAAGTAATTTTAAGTGTTGTGGTTAGCTTTTCTCTTGACTGGATGAGAAATCAAAACAGCACATAAAATTAAATTTTTCTACAGTAACCTTAAAAATCCTGTCATCTCCATCATGTGCAAGGTGGATATCGATGTCAGCAGCAGGTGACTGTAGCCTGCCTGATTAACCATATACCAAATATCAGCATATGTTTGTATATATTACTTTACCCACTTTTTGGTTGGATTTGTGGCTCTGTAGCTTGATCATCTCAACAACATCTGTTCAGAAAAGAAAAAAAATAAAAAAGGATTAAAAACTTGGATTCCCTCCCTTCATTCCATCTGCTGCTTTCCACATGAAGTCCTGTTCTGACTGAACTGAAAAAAATCCATATCAGATCCTGGCTACAGATCATGAGAACATGTGAGCAATCAGGACATTTGAATGCTCCATCTGTGTTTGTATGAAGAGGACTGTTAAAAACTAATCCGAAAAGTCTATCCTCTAACTCAGCAAGCAGACTTCAATCCCAATAAATATTTAACGCATGCTTAATTCATTTTTATTAAGCAAAGAATAAGCACCAGCTTAATTTTAAGGATACATTTAATTTTATTTGGCTTAATGTAGAATATATGCTTCAGGCATATCCTGAGAAGAATTCCAGCCTCCACAAAATACAGGCAAAAATTCATGACCAACTTTTTACCATTGGAAAATAGGATAAGCGCAGCATGATGGACCTAAATTCAGCCATGAAAATAAATTTTAAAAAAAATTTTAAAAGTTAGTGAGGTATGAACTATTTTACTGTAACTTAAACTCCTTTCAACCTCACAAGTGAATTGGGATTTACATTTTACTGGAACTTCAGCAGGATTAATCTTGGTAGAATTTCCATGTTGCAAAGATATACATAAATGGAGGTTTCATTGAATATATTCAGGTGAAAATTCATTGCCTTGGAACAGGATTAATTTCAAAATGTAGTCTGACTTCTGCGAAGCTTGGCATTTGCCTTCTACAAATAAAGCTCAGAAAAAACTGAGATATTCATTCCTCATTTGGATTAGATGTCTTTCTAAAGAATGCTATAGTTAAACCAAAGAAACCTCTGCCCAGAATCGAGCTCATGTTGCATATATTCCAAAAAAGCAGAAGCCAAACTTGAAAAATATTGCGAGAAAATTCATAGTAAGACAAAATGAAATTATTTTCTACCACGTTAAAATTCATGTGTATCTTTAACAATCAGAGAATACTTGAAATTTACTGCTTTCTTGCTAGCTCTAGATACTGATCATCCATACAGAAATCCACCTTTTTTTTTTAATCTAGATAAATTTAGACACCAAAACTGCTACATAGGCACTCCATGGGCCATATGGAAAATTGATTTGCTTCTAATTTTTTAATATTAAAACGATGTTAAACAATAAAAATATAGCAGCCTCTTTTTTTTTTTTTCCCAATTAATTTGTTTCCATGCATTTGTTTCTAATTTACTTACTTCGTATCTTCACTGAACTTACCATGTTTTGACATTGAGAAGGTAGAACTGGTTTTTTGTCAAATTAATGGAAATAAATGGAAATAGCAGAGTGGAGGAAAAAGAGCTCTCTCAGAACACTTCTCTGTCCCAAGGGAAACATGACTATCAACACTTTATCTTAACCTTCCTTTTGGCTGACACTTCTAAACTGTGGGTTTAATCACCATATTGAAGTGAAGAACAAAAGAAGGATGAGAACTCAAACTAAAGCCTCTTCCAGAACTTGCAAGGGCCAAGGAAGTTACCCCTGACATCAGGACTCACTGAATGTGCCAGTGACTGTGTCTACACTGCCTGGTAGCTCACTGTAACAAAAAAAAAAAATTCTATTAGAGGACGAGGGGTAGCATGAGAAATACTGTTGGTCTCTTCTGCTCTTCAGTCCTTTGAGTTATGGGCTCTAAGCCATATTCAAAATGTTAGGAGTTGGCTCGCTCTCGTGATTAAAACAAGCCTCAGCAGAGAGAAAGCATTTCAGTTCTCACCCCTCTCTTTATGGCATTTTCCCCAGAATATCTGCAATATGAAACTGGAACGTGAAATGAAATGGTAACAGGACCATTATCTATATCCAAGGTTCCTTTGATTCAAAAAGCAGCTGAGAGGGCATTTTTTGGTGGGGAAAAACAGAATGGTAGAAGAAAGGAGCTGGAGACAAGGAAGCAACCCATGGTATAAACCATCTAAGACCAAGCAATCCAATGAAATGAAGAAAGAGGAAACAGTCAAGATTTCCACTTGTCCATAGCAAAAATGTAAAAGCAGTAATTATGGAGGGAAATTATTTTGCATAAACAGAAGCAAACCCAACTCAAAAATATATTCAAAGACACTGTGTTATGAGACACTGAGATTTCTAGAGACAAGATTCAACCCCTCTAGCAAGTAGAGCAATTTGCCTGTAGAAGGGGATATTGGAAATGGACTATTGGCTGTCCATGATATCATGATTACTTTAAAAAAATGCATTATGATGGTGTTATTGACATTTTACAAAAAGCAGTAAGGCTATATAGCCAGCAACTCTTCTTCATTTAGAGAACTTCAGCAACTGGAGAATCGAGGCTAATTAAGTTCCTGTAAATTTGACAAAGCAGTTTCCACTGTATCATCTGGATGTCTTGCTAGTAATTTAATTGATTACCTACATAGTAGTAGTGTAGTCAATGTGTCTAATAGTAGCAGTATCTAATCCAAATCCCTGTATGACTGCAGGTAGAGCTGCTAACTTACACTCAAATGTGATAAAATAAAAAAGACAGGAACTTCAAACTAGAGGTTCTTTGTCCAGATACTCCCCTATTTTCTGTGAAAAGGAGGTGTTTAGTAGGGGATCACATAGATCTACAACTGTGAAAAACACAACCAGCTCCTCATATAAAGGTCATGCAGCTTGTTTGGGGAAGACTGTAAATATAATATTTCTACAACCTAGTTTTTTTTCCTAATAACTTTTTCCAAAGGCAGGGTAGAAACATGTAGGGGCAAGAGGAAGACACACAGATGAATCATACTGAGCCTCCCCTGATTCTCCCAGAGGAGGTGCCCAAGACCAAGAAAAGGAGAGGAGTCCTTCTAGTGGCTAACCAAAGCAATGCTTTGACATAACAAATGCAGAAATACACAAATTTTATCTCTGTTCTCACAGTTTTCTCTACTGTACAAAAACTTTAAAGGTAAACAAAAATACATAGTTAGGCTTAACTTGCAGAAAGTTCTCTGTATACTTTGCCAAAAATGCAGAGAAGTCTCTCTGTGACATACCAGTACAACTGCTGTGTACTAGTGTGTACTGCTCAGTGGTTGTCACAGCTGCAGCTTCTCATACTCGAGTTAATCAGCTGAAACATGGTCAAGCACTGGAACATGGTAGTTGAGCTGAAGAAAGAGAAGTGCTACACTGGGGACTGTTTTTCCTTTTCAAAAAATGCTGAAAGACATCCAATAATA